TTGGAGGAAGAGCTTAAAGATGGGTCTCCTCTGTCCAGGGAAGAGAAGGGTTTAGCAGAAGGAACAATGAGGATGCTCCCTTATACCTCAGCTTTAGGAACTTTCCACTCTTCTGCCCTCCCTGTCCTCTGTTCTAATCCGACATCAGACAGAGAGCATAAGTGGGTGAAAACCTGTATGTCCTAAAAGCCCTTGGGAAAAAAGAAGTAGGGTATCTTGCTCTTGTCCAGATGGATAGTGCAGTAGGGTATCTAAGTGTATCTTTCTCTATGTACTAATACTGAACACACAAAGTATTGATCATGTGTCAGGCACAGCTCTAAGAGCTTCACATATATTAACTCTCTATTTAATCCTTACAACAACCCTATCAAGGTGTTATCCAGACACTCTCCATTTTACAAGAGAAAGAACCGGCCTAGAGGGGTTAAATTAACCAGCCCAAGTGCACACAGCTGATTCCATGATGAGCCAGGATTCAACTCCAGGGAGCCTGGTTCTATACCTCATCACGAAGCCTCTCCCAGTGGCTGCTGGACTGTCCCTCAGTGGGTGTCAATGGCCCCTCTTCTTTGCTCCCAGCTATGGAAGCTCCTGAGTTCACGTTCACCCAGCACACACACCTGCCTCGCTCAGACACCTGGCAGAGGCCTGGCCTCCATGGAAACCCCAGCAACAACAGGGTGAGACTGTCCTGGGGACAACTGAGCAGATTTCTCTCCCACTGGCTTTCTGGAATGCTTATATTGCTCACATTCTCCTGGTTGAAGACAGAGAAACAGTAACCCAGGTAGCCCACCCTTCAGCCAGGGGTAATGAAGATCCTCTCGTTATTGTGGATCTGCAGAGCTCACCTTAAATTCATCTTTTGTGAAAGGCCACTCCCACCATGACTGTCCATGGCATGGCACGCTGAGAGCTAAGAGCTATGGTGCTCACTGCAGCTGCTAACTGGCTGTATGACCACTGTAAAACTGAAGGGGGGAGAGGGGGAACGGACCATGATCTTCTAACACAGTTTTTCACTCAACCTGTACAGATTTTGGACAAGAAAAGTCTTTGTTGTGGAGGGGCTGTCCTGTGCATTGTAGGATGTTTAGCTGCACCTCTTGCTTCTATTTATTAGACGTAATAACACATTGCCACCCACCTTCCTTGAAACAACCAAAAATGTTTTCAAACATTATGAATATTTGAAAACTACTGCTCTAAAGGAAGAGTAACAACAACAAAAAACAGGTTTTGCCCCTGTAAATTTGGGTGGAGTGGAATTCTTGCTCTAAGATAGGCTAGGACAGCCCCTCACATGAAATTATCCATCCCAAAATGTCAACAGCGCTGAGGTGGGGAGACCTGCTGTAGAAGTTGGCAGAAACAGCCAGTAAAGTGCAAGGAAGCATGCCCCGTGATCCATGGAGTGTGATATTAAGACGCAGCCAATGAACTCTGGGATTTGATTTGCCCCCCCCCCCCCACACCCCCCACCCCACCCCTACCGCTCGCCCACTGCTTTGGAAAGGCAAAGACAGACACACACAGTGTTGGAAAACAAACCAAACTTGCTGACTTCAAAACCCAACAATGATAATGAGAAACCTGTTATCAAGAGTTGTCTTATAAACCAGAAATATCTGAACAAAGGCAGCCAGTTTTCTGGGGTTCTTGAGTTCTTTTAGTGCCTCAGATCTCCTTACTCTGACTGCCAGATTTTTTCGAGAAAACTGTCACGGTTTGAGTTGTTTTGATTCCCCCTGGAAAAGGGCCCCTCACTGCCCTCTAACTCCTTGGGGTGCTGAAAACGTTTAACTTTGAACGTAAAAATGTTTTGTTTTGTTTTTAAATGTTGGCTTTGTCTGAGGAGGCTCTGAGGGAATTTTAATTCATTCGGGGATAAAGAACAAAGTGCTTCCTAGAGTTCTCTGAAATAGAAGTTTGATAATACAAAACAAATGAATGGTTAGCAAAAGCTAAAAAATATTCCTGCTACCATCAGTTATCTTCTGAGCATGGAAGGGACAGTATTAGGATACTAAGTATTCGGTTACAAGTTGAAAGAATAAGTGACAAACTGTACCTCATTTAACCACATAATACATCATTTAACTTAAAGTCATAGAGCCTATTATTTTTTTAAATATGTTTATTGATTTCAGAGAGGAAGGGAGAGAGAGAGATAGAAAGAGAGAGAGAGAGAGAGAGAGAGAGAGAGAGAGAGAGAGAAACATCAATGATGAGAGAGAATCATTGATCGGCTGCCTCCTGCATGCCTCAGACTGGGGATCGAGTCCACAACCCAGGCATATGCCCTGACTGGGAATCGAACCATGACCTCCTGATTCATAAGTCAATACTCAACCACTGAGCCATGCCTATTATAGTAAGTGAGGCATGTAGGAGGCAGCCGATAACTTTATCTACTTCATGGAATTATTAATGAATTAGCATTCATTAACAACTTTATCTACTTCATAGAGTTGTTAATGAATTAACCTAAGTGAAGAGCTTAAAACAGCACATGCTATCTGTGTTTCTCTTGATTTTCAAAGTGTCAATCGGCAAAAAGGAACAAATAGCCCTTACTCCCCTTTTAATGGCACAAAACACTAGGCTTGTCCATCAAGAGACAAGTGACTCTGACAGGGCTAGTTCTGGGCAGGTGAATCTAAGCTCTCCATGCCTCAGACCATAACCCAGAAGATGTGAGATGATAGAGATTTCTGCAGAATCCAAATCAAGGCCTTTTCAAAAGACTCTAAAATTAAAATCATGTCTTATCTCCCTATTCTTCCTTCTGGCGGCAACATGAAAAGATACTTCCAAAATATTCTCTCTGATTCTCTCCCTTCCTATGTAATTGCAGCTGGAATCAAACAGCTATGCTCACCTGTCAGGAGGCAAAGTCGTAGGTTCTGACACCTGATGAGTTAAAGGCCCGACTCAACTCTGCCCCCCTTGGTAATTAAGAGGAAATACACCCAGACACTTGACAGGCAGGAGAAAGCTAGCTGCAAGGTAGAGAAGAGAAGCCTAGAAGAAGGACATTTTCTCATTGGTGCTTAGTCATCACAACTCCATTAAGTGGGAAAGGCCGCTGTTGTCATCCTCATTTTACAAAAAGAAATCGACAGTCCAAAGAGGCAAAGTGGTGTGCTCAGGGGTCCTGGGGTTTTAAAAAACCACAAAACAGAGATTAGAACTCATTCCCAGATACCCTGGCTAATTCTCTTTCCTAAGAGATGGCCCCCTCTTCCAGACCGGGGAGTGGTACAACGCCACAGTTCCCTAACTTCCTCCCTCTGGGTTGGGAAAAAGTGAATTTGTAAAAGAATTCAAACGTCCTGGGGTGATCGACTTTGCCCAACAAAGAAGACCCCCAGCTTGGATGAAAGATACAACAGCTTAGTATTTTAGGGCTTGCCAAGGGATGACAGTCTTCCAAGTGTTAACTCATTCCTTGGGCAGAGAAGCCCAAAGTAGTTGCCAAGATCCTGCCCGGTCACAGACATGTTCTTAACTAAACTGAACTAAAGGGCAGAGCAGGGCCACGTCCCAGGAATGAGTTAGAGAGTGACAGCCGTAGATACGACGAGGAAAACTCAACTCACAGCCAACCTCTGCTCCCTACTCCAGGCTGAGGCTGGGAAATGCCATGCTTTACTTGGGTGATCATCTGCTACGGCTCTAAAAACACCCAAACGGTAACCCCCTCATCTATCCTTTACTCTCAGGACCCCCAAAATGGGAGTATGAGCAGGTTGCCCCACCAAATGATAACGCCAAGAGATTTTTCCAAAAATACGTTTCCACTAAAACACAGAAATTTCAAGGAGGTAATTGAGCAATGCCCTCTCATTGCCTCACAGCACTGGACACCCCACCCCCACCCCTCACCCCCGCCCCAGCCCATCCCCTCTTCTCCAATCTAGCTGAAGCCCAAGGCCAGGAGAGCCGATCCTGAAATCCAGAGCATTTGAGAAACTATTCAACCCAGAGTGAGAGCGACTCGGGCCCAGCCCAGCCCCACCCCCAACCCAGACCCGGAGGCACGCGGAGCTAGGCTCCCGGCCCGGGCAGAGGCTCTTTCTTATGTAAATGACCGCGCCGCCGATAGGACTCTGGTGGGGGCAGCGGGAGGAGGGGGCTGCTGAGAGCCAAGTGGGCAGACAGGTCAGGGCCAAGGTCAGGAAAAAGCTGATTTTCGGAACCACAAACATCTCAGGGAGATGGGCGCGGGGGCTGTCGGTCCTCTCCGAGTAACTTACAGAAGTACCCAAAGTAACACGCCAAGTCCGCCCCCCATTTGGAGGCGGGCCCTGGGGGCCCAAGGCGGGGCGGTTCCGAGGCAGCTTGGGGGAGGTGATGTACGCCCCACGCGGAGCCTCAGTTCCGGGCACCTCAGTTCCGGGGAGGGGGCGCGGCGGGCGGAGTTCCCTGTCTCTTTCCCATCTCTCTCCCGGGTCAGTCTCTCCCCAAAGCCCACCTCTGCAGGGCCTTGTGGAAGTCCTAAGGAAACCCCACTTCCCCAAAACGCGGCCCTTTAGCGCGGGAGCGTCCCGCCAGCCCCGCGCGGCGGCGGAGCCAGCTCCCCAAGCCACGATTCTCCCCACGTGCTCTCGCCGGAATTCGGGCAGCGAAAGAGGGGCTCCTCCCACGTGGGCCCATCAGTCTACGACCACTGACTTAGTGGCCCGCCCCTCCAGAAAAAAAAAAAGAGAAGAAAAGCGCGAGCGCGCGCAGGGCGGTGGGGAGGGAGCGCGGTGCGAGCGCGAGCCCCCTGCCTGGCACGCGCGCACCCGCCTGCCCGTGAGTAGCGGGCGTGGCTCCTGATGCCCAGGAGTTTCCCGGACGCCGAGACAGTGCCCACGTCCTCCGCCCCGAATGGGGGAGAAGAGCGGCCCCGCAAGGTGAAGGAGAGTTTCGGCGGGGACCCGGGAGAGCGGGCGGGGGACCACACAACTTTGCCAGAGGCGAGCCAGCCACCCCCGCCCGCGCTTCCTCACCTTCTGCACTTGGTCATGGTTGAGCTCCGTGAAGAAGTAAGCGAGCAGATGCGAGGCGATCATTTTGCCACGGCCCGACGGCGCCGAGATGGGAAACCAAGACTGGAGCGCTTGTGGGGAAGGAGGGCGGCGCGGTCAGACAGCTTCGGTGGGACCGGGAGCGGTGAATCCGAGCGGCCCGCAAAGAAGGCTAACAGCGATGGCCCACCGGCGGAAGGGTCTCCGGTCTCTAGGATCAGGTTTGGGGAGTCACAACTGCTAGGAGGCTCCCAAAAAAATCACTCCCGGCGACGTGTCGGGTTGCCCCGCTGTCAAGGCGCTAACTTCAGCCACAGGATCCCTAGGGCTCAACTTGGGAAGAATCTCAACTCGGTTCCACGGGGGGTGATCGGACCTCTCCCGCTCACGCGCGCGCTGCTCTCGCCCGCAGATCTTCTGGGCTTGGTGACTCGGCGTTGCTAGCGGCGGCCCGGGAGTCCAGCGCTAGAGTTTCGTGCAACAATGTGGCTTATTGAGGGGCTGCCGGCTCCCGGGCCGCCCAGTCAATGACGCGTACACGCCCATTGGCTGCGCGGGGAGGGTGTGTGCTCCCCGGACCGCCCGCTGCCTCCGCTCAGCCAATTAGCGCGCAGAGCCCGTGGGCGCGGCCGCTCAGACACCCGAGCCTGCAAGCCAGAGGGGCGCGCCTGGGGGCGGGGGCGGGGCCGGCGGCCGGGATGCGACGTGTGGTCCGTGGCAAGAAGCTGGGCAGGAAAGGCGCATGAGCCGCCGCCAGGTCAGGCTCAACTATGGGTGGGGGGCGCGTGATCACAGACCTGGTGTGTGAGGCGACTGGAAAGACGGGTCACCCGACCAGCACACGCCCTATAAGAGGAGAGAGATACAGTCTGGCATCTCCCAGTCATGTGAGGGGCCCCACTGGCAGGTCACATTTCTGAAGCATCTGGGTTCTCACCTCTTATGGCTCAACCATCCTCGCGCCACGCTGGTGCAAAATGAGCCACCGCAGCTGCTGCTTCCTTTATTCCAGGCATCGCAAAACTGACAGGATGTGGCTTTTACTAACCTCGTTTACAGGTGAGGAAACTGAGGCACAGGGCCCTTGGGAGATAGACTTACTTGCCTAGGGGCACACTGATACTAAGTGGCTGGTGGAGGAAGGAACCCGTGTGCGTCTGACTTGGAGGCCCTATTCTTTTCCCGATTACCCCATCTTGCCACTCTACCAGCCAGGAAGATAGAAGGCAGGAGGAAATGAGCTTTTTCTGCAGCTGGGGGACTGATGCGTGGATGAAACTGGGTGGGTGGCAAATGGGTAACCAAATGATCCTGGACATGTGTGGGGTGGGGTGGGGTGGAGTGGGGTGCGGTGGCTTATGGGTGCTAAGAGGAATGGGAACCACAGCCACCACGGATGCCTAGCACCAGACTCCAAATTTATATACACTGTGGAAGCTGGTGTGAAATAGTGACTGCAGCAGACAAGAGATTGGTGCTTGTGGAGAATAGCAAGCCTGCGGTTGGAGAGGTCACAGTGAAGGGAGGAAGATGAGGGTCTGCCATATTCTACTAGAAATTCATCCTTTTCTCATAAACAGTGAAGTGCCATCTGCAAAGTACCTATTACACAAGTAATAAATGGTCGCTGTTGGGAAATAAGAATATACCAACAGGAAAAGCAAAAGCACCCATGATCCAGCCACTCGGCAAAACGTCCTGAAAGCTGGGTACCCTTGCCAGCTACACATGCTCACCCCTCCTTCTCTGCACTCCAGTCAGGCTTGGGTCCCAAACCGCTTTGGTCATAGTCACCACAGTGACCTACAGGTTACCAGGTCCTGGGTTCTCATTACCTTCCTGCCTTTGTCTTACTACACCTCTGGGGATGTCAGGCACAGCTGACTGCAAACTCCATCTGGACACACCTTCCTCTGTTGGAGCCTGGGACGCCCCGCCCTCCTGCTGTCCCTCTAACCTCAGTCTCCTGGCAACTCAGTCCTCGTTTTTTCTACTAGTGAGGAGGGCTGTCCTCCTCCCTCTTCTCTGATCTAGTTACATTCTCCTCTGGTATTCCCTCCCAGCCCCATGACTGTTATATCATCTACACACGCTGATGACTCACACCTGTAATTCCACCGTGAAGACCTCTCCCAGAGTTCCAGACATTTCCCAGCTACCATGTGTCATGTCCACTGAAGTGACTGGCATATCTCACACTTAGCAGGTCCAAAGATGAACTCAACGTTTCTTCCCAAAACTATTTTCCCAGTTGTCTCAGCAAATGGCATCCCCATCCACCCTAAGCCATCCTTGATCCTTCCTGGCATTCACCCTCATATCTAGTCACTCCATCAGCAAGCAGTCATTTTGACCCATAAAACAGAGCCTGTAATTGACCACTTTTCTCCATGTCCCTGGACACGTCCTAGTCGAGCCACCAACAACTCAGCCAGAGCCAATACCACACCATCCCACCTTGCCCCTTACATCTATTCATGCCTATCTCTACTCTGACCCCTATCTGCTCTCCTTCACTGAGAAGGTGATGTGACCTGTTTACTATATATATATACCATTCTACATCTCTCTCTGGCTGAAAGCCACTTTTAATGGCTTCCAATCTTAGACGAAAATTCAAATCTCTGACAAGGACCACTAAGTCTATATAGACATTGCTCCTGCCGCCCTCTCCACTCTATCTCGTATTGCATCTTTCCCAGGACTCTGCTTGGCTCACATTGGCATGCGTTCCTCAGAAATACCAAACTCTTTCTAATCCAAGGACCTTTACTCTTCCTTTTTCTTCTGTCTGGAATATTATTCTCCAACTCCATGTGCAGCCAACTTTCCCTCCTCACTGATGTTTAGCTTAAGGGTCACCTCCTCAGTGGACCAGTTTATCTCAAGTAGTTCCCCAAGTCACTACCACATGGCCCTGATTGATTTCCTATTGATTTTCTGTATATTGCTTTTCTTCTCACTGGACTGTGAGCTACAAGAGGACAGGATCCGTTATGTTGTCCCCTCATATCTGCAGTGCCTAGAATGGTGCTTGTCACATGGTAGGTTTGCAATAAATATTTGTTGGATAAATTAATAGAAGAAATCTTAATATATTTCACAGTTTAACAATACAGAGAGAGAGAGTTTATAGTTTTACATATTATTCCTCAAATCTTTTCCCACCTCTTCGTCTACCCTAGTTCGCACATCCAACATCTCTCGCTTGATTATGAGAGCCTCATAAATGGGCTTCCCCCTTTAGATATAGAAACACTATGGATATATAGATCTAGATATGCAACAGAGCTTAGAGGAGTGAAGTGATCAGCTTTGCTTTTTCAGAGCAGTAACTGCCTCCATGTGGATGGGGGAGAGGGGGACAGAGCGTGGAGGGTCAAAGACCAGACAGAGGCAGAAAGCAGCCGAAGCCATGGGAGAGGATCAGGGCCTGAACCAAGGGGAGGGTGGGACAGGAGATGAGGTATGGGTTTAGATATTTTTTTAAATAGATTTGTATTGGTTTCAGAGAGGAAGGGAGAGGGAGAGAGAGATAGAAACATAAATGATGAAAGAGAATCATTGATGGGCTGCCTCCTGCATGGCTCTTACTGGGGATCAAGCCCGCAACCCGGGCATATGCCCTTGACTGGAATCGAACCCGGGACCTTTCAGTCCACAGGTGGACGCTCTAACCACTGAGACAAACCAGCTAGGGCAGCCGTGGGCAAACTACGGATCCAGCCCGTTTGAAATGAATAAAACTAAAAAAAAAAAAAAAGACCATACCCTTTTATGTAATGATGTTTACTTTGAATTTATATTAGTTCACACAAACACTCCATCCATGCTTTTGTTCCGGCCCGCTGGTCCAGTTTAAGAACCCATTGTAGCCCTCGAGTCAAAAAGTTTGCCCACCCCTGAAGGGCGTGGGTTTAGTTATTTTAAAGTCTGAAGTAAAATTGATGGCTGTGGTTAGGAGTGGTGGATGAAGAGGATTCCTACTCCCTAACCCAACAGGCAGGCCTGTGCTACAAAACCCGCTGGCCCCACGCAGGTGAGACCAAACCCAATGAGTCATATCAGCTATGATCCCTTCTCCACACACTAATTTTGATTGTCTTCTCCACTTCCCTCTCTGGTCCCATTTTATGTGGACCAGATAATAATCACAATATACTTTAAGTGCATATTATCTCTTACAATGCTCCCAATCCTGGGGGGTGGTTGGAATAGGTTTATTTCAACCTCAATTTATACATGACAAACTAAGGTGGGTTACTCATACAAGGCTGAAACTTGTGTCTTCACCTTTTGTGGCTTTAAACTTCATGCTTGGAGCTTATTATTTATTGATTCTCAGATCTCTCTCTCTCGTTGAAGAGTGACGAGACATCCATGTAATTTAGATTCCATAGCCCCAAGAGAGAAATCAATCAGCAAATATTCATTAAACAGACCCTTACAATGTTTAGACAGTCTGCTCAGTGCTGTGAGAAATGCAAAAGAAACACACGATGTGGTTCTCGACCCTCAAGGATTATCTCTTTAATCAGAGGTATAAAATCCATACATAAAACAACGATTACGGAATGGAAAAGTCTATCATCGAGAGCCAAATGTGCGTGTTTCTTTATAGGTGATGGAGTTTTGGAGGAGGAAAAGAACCCAGCCAAGGGTGGTCTGATTCATACAACAGGACTCACAGAGGACTGACCTGAGCCCGGTGATTAGGCTTCAGGAAGCTGTCCTGGAAGATGTTACTAAAGGACCATCATCTGCCATATATTCCTTTTTTAAATTAGGATTTATCAAGTTTTCAGCGACTTATATATGTGGAATTATGTAGGGACTGAACGACTGAGGGTGGGCCTGCCCTAAGTGTAAATACATAGGACTCCTCGCATCATGTTGTCTTTAATATTGGGTCCTAATGACCTGCAGCGGTCAATTATAATGTATGAATTTGGAAGATTGGGAAAGAAAGGCATTGAAAAGTAGTTTCAATAAAAAAGTGGAAGCCATGGGATATGCCACAACCTCATATCAGTCACATGTGAAAACAGAACCCACTCAAGCTAGCTCAAGCAAAAAGGGAGTGTACAGAAGAATATTTAGTGCCTTTCAGGATCTTCAAGAGAGCCAGAGAATCAGGCTCAGAGAGTAGTCATTCAAGAATGTTATCCAAGTCGTACCATTGAACTCCACTAGTGGAAATGCTAGTGCTATGGCCACTGGGCTCAGGCATCTCTGCAAACACTACTTATGCTGGGCTCAGGATTTTAAACTAGGAGCCAGGACATGCCACAGCTAACTTTGACAAATATATTTTTATTGATTTCAGATAGGAAGGGAGAGGGAGAGAGATATAAACATCGATGATGAGAGAAAATCATTGAATGGTTGCCTCCTGCATGCCCCACACTGGAGATCAAGCCTGCAACTCGGGCATATGCCCTGCCCAGGAATCAAACTGTGACCTCCTGGTTCATAGGTCGACACCCAATCAACTGAGCTATACCAGCCAGGACAGCACCTCCTT